CAATGTTTGCGAGAAAACAACTTAAAAGCTGAGAAACAAAAAATAAAACAAAAAAAACTAAACAACACATACATACACACCCACATTGATGCAAATTTATCGGAATATATCAATACCTAATTGTACTTGTTGGAAACTTATGACAGCTAAAATGTGCTAATCCTAAAAACGATGCAAACTGAGGAACACTACTAAGAAGAGAAGAAAATCTGTATTGTATATATACATTTAAATTATTGAAAAATAATAAAGTATTTAATTTTTAAGAGCAAAATGTTATTGATTCGAACACACAGAAAACGTCCCTATCGATAGCTGTTGGCGTGAGCACCTGACTTCCTCACTCCGGGGGCACAAAAGTCATCCAAGAACAGCCTTGAAGCCGATTTTTTGGCTCTTTGGTTCGATTATACGTCAGTTATTGACAGCTGATGTAAACATAACGAGTTTCAGCTCCATTTATGCGTTTGTTTAAACGTTAGTTATGTCGTTTTCGTTTTTGCGGTGTAGCTACACCGGTGCTACACTGCCGAACACCGAAAAAATTTAGGGTGTAGCTATCGGTTGCACCTTTGTTTACAAACAAATGATGATGAACTGTCAATGACTCGCACTTATTGCTGCTTACACTACACCGGTGTAGTGTAGTAAAAACGAAAACGACATTAGTAACGTTGTGGTATTGATGAAAATTTATCAAGTGATTGTTGTTTTGAATTAATCTCTCGGTGTTTTTCAGTTGGTTTTCTATCGTTCTATAATTTAAGAAAGAAGTGTATGAAGTGAGTTCACGGTGGCTTTAAGAATCAATGACCGTCTCATCGGTTGGTCATACTCGGATGGGTGAAACTCATCGCTAAGCCATGATGATGGTAACGTATACGTTGATAGCGGTGGCCGAAGCTTAAAATCATTCCAACATCAACGCCACCGCTATCATTGACAGCAGCTTCAAGAACCAATGGCCGTGCCAGAGGATTGACTTCCTGGGTTCCTTCGACCGACATTTAGCCGGTGTCATCCTGGTCCCCAAGAATCTAAAGCATAAACACTATAGTCGCTATATTCATAGTCTGGCGGATAGAATCTCGGGAACCAATTGAGCTGTCAAATATCGGAACCAATCGAGCAAATCATGACCAACAACAGAAAAGAGCACATCAGCTATTGCGTACAAAACTTCGGAAACCCTTTTCTCGTGACTCAAAGCTAGCAAACTAACACCATCTTTGGGTTGGGTCAAGTTTTCCCTATCCGATGATGCGTTCGATTGGTGAGGAAAGGATAATCAACGTTTTGTTTATAAAAGTTGATAGTACGTTTTCAATTGATGGTCTACAATATATTGAATTGGTTCCGGTTTTTGATAAATCGAAATTCTATCCGTCAGACTATAAATATAGCGACTATAATAAACACTGGTAAGGATGTTAAATATTGTGTTATGCTATATGCAACTTCGTTCTATTCTACTTAAATAAGTTGATGGTGTTCGGGTGTTTGGAATCGTTAATCGCGTTTATCTCTTTAATTAAGGCATACATCGCTATTTGAGGAGTATTTGGGGGTCAAAATCCTGAATCGCGTTTATCTTCTTAATTAAGGCCTATATCAATCGTGGTTTGAGGGGTGTTTAGGGGTACGAAATCTTTAATCGTGTTTATCTCCTAAATTACGGCCTAATTCGCGATTTGAGGGGTGTTTTAAAATTAAGGCTTAAATCACAATTTGAGGGATGTTTAGGGGTCGAAATATTTAATCGTGTTTATCTCCTTAATTAAGGCCTAAATCACGAGGGGTGTTTTGGGAGTCGAAATCTTTAATCGCGTTTATCTCGATTGAACACTCGTTGCAGCCCACCTATTGCACCGTTAATGTCATAGTTTGTGCGCTGAAGTGGCAATCTCAGCATAACGTTGTTACGTAGCGCACGGGGTTGGACGTTAATGTTGACTTGCTCCAAGATTGAACTGCAATTAATTCTACCTTGTAAAGCGTCCGCGATGAACAGGGCTTTGGGGCATCACTTCTAGTTCAGAGAGGCTCCATACGAATCAACTGGCAATGACTTTCATAGCTGGGTAGATGAAATTGGTCTCTCCAAGGCAGCTTCCGCAGAGCGAACCGAAGAAAACCGCGTTGAACGGACTCAACTCTCTCAGCACCATTGTTGTAATTTGGACTCCAGACCACAGAACAGTATGCCAGAATGGATCACACTAATGAACAGGACAGTGACTTCAAACAGTAGATGTCGGAGAAATACTTTGCTATCCTTAAGATAAAGCTCAATGTCCTAGACGCCTTGTCGACAACGTACAAGATGTGCTGCTTGTACGTAAGTTGAGAATCCAGAATAACACCCAGATCTTTCACATGGTTCACACGTTCGATTACAGTGACCATATGTAGTCAAATGTGATTGGTTCCTCCGAGTAAAAGTGATCTCTGAACACTTTGTGGGGTTAATCACCATTCTGTTCAAATTACACCAGCTGGTATAGGCTTCGAACTGACGTAGATGGAAGCGACAGTCATCTATCGTGCGGATTCGTAGATCGATTTTAAGATCATATGCATACGATAATTGTGGGCCTTCGATGACCAAGTTCACGTCATTAAAAGTAGAGTAAGAAAATCAAAGGTCTCAGGTGACGTAGCTAGATAGATAACGGACCGGTTGTCACCAATGGCAACCATCCGTTGTCGATCAGTGAGATATGAACGAAATCATCGCAAGAAGTTGCCGCGACCCCAAGTCTATGCAACTTGGCAATCCCAATGGCATGATTTAATTCATCGAAGGCAGCTGACAAGTCGGTATATATGACGCCTGTTTGAGTCCTCTCTGCCATGCTTTCCGTAAGATACGATGTCAAACACAGTAGATTTGTGGAAGGAGAACGACCGGAAGTGAAGCTGTATTGATCACCACTTAGATACTGCTTATGCCACGGATAAACTTGGATGACAAACTGTGAGCATGAGCATTATTTGTATAATAATTATGAGCACTATACAACTATAAAAGTGTGACCATAGATGTGCTCATAATTTATTATACAAATAATGCTCATGTTCATAGTTTGCCATAAAAGTGTATCCGCGGCATTACAATGAGAGAGCAGAGGCTCCATGATGACTAACTCGAATAAATTCGAAACTGCACTCAACGACGATAATTGTCCGCATCCCGTTTGTTGCCCTTTTTGTGGACAGGAATCATATGTGCAAATTTTCAACAAGATGGAAAGGTACCGCTCAAGATGGACCAATTGGAATAGGTGATTCAACGGCATCAGCAAGCTGGTGATATACTTTTCAGGAATATAGACGGAACGCCATCGGGTCCTGGATTGAAGGACGACTTGAGTTGTGATGCGGCAGTGGAAATCATCTCGACGTTGACATCCATTGCACCCAGTGATTGACCTTATGGTTGAACATTACTAGCTGCTAGGGTAATTTGCTGAGGAGTGGAAGCAACTGCTCCATTCAAGACCATTGAAGAGGGTAGGTCGGATTCCTTTCGCGGCTCATTTACGTAATTTCAGAATGACTTCGGGTGCCACTTGAGTTTCCTCTGAATCCTTCGTTGATATCGCGAATAGCATCGACGGCTAACTCGCTTGAACTCATAATTGAGTCTAACGCAGTGACGTTTCAGCGAAAGCGTACGATACCTAGTGAAATTTATTAATGCGGCTTTCTTGGTTGACTTCAACCTATGCAGTTCATTCGTCTTTTAGCCAAAATGAATGGAAGGTACCTTGGTTGCAAGACATTCATTTACAGTTCCGGAAAAAACGAGCAGTTCAGCCGTCGCGTATTACATGGTAGCAGCAGTGATTGCCGTTGTTCCTACACGTCCATGAGTTCTACTGGTATCGATTGATTTCGCCAACCGGAGTCTATAGAGTACGGAAAACTACCTTGGCTTTCCGTTTTCCGATTCAATGCCCTTAAATTTTATGTTTTTCCTCGGCACCAAAAGCTGATATTTCTGCTCGTACTATCTCGAATAATCTAAACTTTCGTATATTCGTAGTCAAATTTAACCTATTGCAAAACGAACGTGCATTTAAATTTATTGAAATATATTAGCATACTACACATTATCAGTAATTATAGCTGTCCAACCGTGAACAATTCACGAAAAATTTAGCCCACCTCTCCCCATTCGTCACGTTTTTCTTATACCTAATGATTTACTTATCACAAAATCTCACACACTCCCTTTCCGTGGCATAATTTATGCAGCACACCTCTTTCAAATGCAGCCATGGGCTATGTTCCAGCTATCGAAAATAGGTTCATGATATCAAGATAAACTCTTGAACTTTTATCACGTTTACTAGAACTAAATCATGATTTTCAGAAAATAATTCACATTTTCATTACTTTTGTTACCACTACCGGTGCGCGGCGTACGCGGATTTAATCATGGTTGTACATTTGTATAACGAAATTAGGCTTGTTCCGAAACTCGTGCCGAATTTCGGACCGGATTTTTATCCCGTGTGGTGACGTCATTGTAAAACACGCATCAAATGGTCGTGACTTTTAATTTAGAATCCACTTATATACAGTCACACGGTTAAAGCATCCGCCGGAAGCGTGCGGTCATCGATTTTTAGCTTAGAGTTCAATTCAATGCCATACCGGTCCGCCAGAATCAATAATTTGGTTCCGCGAAATTGCTCATACCGAGCTAGGAATTGGAGGTGGGTATTTGGCGCTCAGCATAGCTTCCAATAGCTTTGATCTGTCACTTCACGATTTAACATATTTCATTTGGAAAAACTTGCGATTCAGAGATTTTCTTTTGAATAAGGATTTTCTTTTGTGTTCTGATTCTTCTAACCTGCGATCCATGGAAAGCTGGAAGACGTCTCGGTTGGTTTTGACCTTCTAGTCAACTTTTGAATTTTTTTAAATGTATTTCTACGAAACTCACAAAGAAAATGTATCTTTCTCTTCAGTGTTATCAGTGAAGGAAGGTGCTCTCTTTCCATGCTCTGTTGTAATTAAAGTAATATTATGGATTTTTCGCTATTAAAGCCACAAAGTGCTATGGACAAGAAACGACCAACAAGTGCAAAAATTGATGTAATTATAGAATGCAGAACATGATCTAGATTATTTGATATCGCACAGCAGTGCAACGCCACGCAAGGTCCAGTGGCGCGGGTTGAAATCGGTTTCGAAATCAATCGAACCGACGTACTTCTGGTCGGTTCGCTGGGGCTTGCGGTAAATCGGGCACTCGTACAGTCTGGGATCCTTGCCAGCGGTCGTATTGATAGCATAGATGTAGATTACCGGCATCTGCTCGTACAGGATTTTGGCCTTGGATTCAATTAGCTTACCCGTTCGACGCTCCAGGGATGCTCCTGTTATTATTTTTTATGTGAAGAAGAAATAAAACAGAGATGGGAATGTGAGACCTGGTCGAATATCATATGCAGTAAAGTTGAAGAAGAGTACGCCGGTGGTAAGTAAACGAAATGATAAACAAGTGAACATGGGTGAGATTGAATCTTTGGTGAAGCTTTTATGAAAAATAAATGAAGAATGATGTGCACCAGTGAGCCAAAGTTCACATTACAGTACCGGTTGGATTTTGGCAGCTAGCCCAAAAATTTAGTGTTGCCAAAATTCAACCGTGCCAAACTCGAACGGTTTTGTTTTGAAATTTAACGTATGTTTTCGTTGATTTTGAACCACAGTGAGTCATTTTTATGACATAGACGTTGTTAATAATTAACCCTCCGTTACTTGCGATGTTGTACTTTGTACAACACACATGAGTTTTCCATTGCCATTTTATTGCTGAGTTACCAATCGATCTGAAACCAACGAGTATTCATCAAAAAACTTGTTTTGTTCTAAACAAGCTAAACTTTGATTACAGTAAACGCCTAAAAAATGCGAATAATAAGGAAAATGTAAATGGAAACCGCGTAAACTGTGACCATACAATGTGGGATTTGATTTAATTGATTACAACATGGAATATATCGAGATCCTGACCAGATAGAAAGTTACTGTCTTTCACAAAGTTTTTCAGGAGGTCAAAGCCTATTGCTTGGTGCTCAATAGTTCAGAATTTGCTCACTACGCGACGCTAGTATACACGTGAAATTCTCATATAAAATATCTCGAGTTCCCAACCAGATAGAAAGGTACTGTCTTCGGCATAGTTGTTCAGGAAATCAAGGCCTGTTCGCAGGTGGACACTAGTTCAAAGTTTTCTCACTTCGCGGCGCTGCTACACCCAACCGGTGGATGTAAGATTCGCTTACAATTATGTGGGATTCATCATCAGAGGATGTAAGTGGAGACCGCATGAACCGAGGATGCGATATACCTAGCTGCGGTCCAATGCAAGAAAATTGGAGACCGAAAAATGTAGAGTGTATTAGTGAGGTAAATTTATTATGTCGAAAAAAAATAGGAAAAAGGTTACCGACTGGACTCGAACAACGAACGTTGCGATTATCAGACCTGTGCTTTCTCCACTGCTCTCTCCATGCTTCTGAATAAGGATAGCCTAAAAGCAAACAATAAGCGCTCATTTCCTCTCACACTCGACTTCGTATGCTTTTTCTGCTGGAGAGATTCGAGGCAAGGGTGTGCGTCGTTCTACCATGTTATACATAAAAATCAAGGCAAATGCTTGCTTGTGTAGGTGAAAGCACAGACAGAACACGAAATAAAAAAGGCAAAAAACCATTACATCGCCTGCAAGGTCAACTTCTAACATTCGCTGCGATGTTCATGAACAGAGGATGATAGGAAATGGAACTAACATTCATTGTAATAGATTTTTGGTTTGCGTGTATACATGTGAAATTCTCGCATATAGAATATCTCTAGATCCTGACCAGATAGAAAGTAAATGTATTGGGCATAGTTTTTTAGGAAGTCAAGATCTTTTTGTTGGGTGAGAATAGTTCATAATTTTCTCACTATGCAGCGCTAGTATATACGTGCCTTTCTTGCATATTCAGCTCGAGATCTTGATCAGCTAGAAAGTTGCTGTCTTCGGCAAAGCTGTTTAGGGGGTCAAGACTTTTTGGCTGGTAGACAGTAGTTAAGAATTTTCTCACCACGTGGCAAGTTTTTCACTGAGTTTCAGCAAAATAAAATGCCGAGCTGCTCGGTGGTGCCCATCTCGGCAAAAAAATCTAAGTGTGTAGGTACATCCAAAGTCATAAAGAAAAGGCCTAATAATATGAAATTATCATCTCTTTCATTATACCGCTATTCCTATGCTGCTAGGAGTGTGACGTCGAATTTATGGTTACATACACCTTATCCTAAATCTAAACGAGAAGAATCTACTCAGTTCGTCTAAAATGTGTAATGTAATGTAAAATGTATAAAATATATACACACGAGTTAGCCAGTCGAGTCAGTCGTGAGATTGTTTTACTCAGTTGTCTGGAGAAATTTCCAAAAGTGTAGTTCACTCAGCGCTGAGTAACCTACACTCCCGATCATAAGCTTAAAAACACCCCCAAAAAACAGGCAAATGTGTTTTATTCAAAGCTCTCTCCTTTTACGTCCAATTTTTGATCTCCTTAGGTTATTTGAATGGTATGAATGGCATAGCATAAGGGTGCTACTACTACTTATAATTTCAAATATTTTTTTTTAATCAATTCTGAGAAAATCAATCATGATTCTTCAGAGTAAATTTTGAAAAGTTGTGTAACTTTGGGTTAACCTTTGGTATACAAATTTTGAAAATAATATTGAGCAATTTGTCTCTTCGTATTTACATTCAAAATCTTTCAAATTTTCTAAAAAGAACGAAAATTGGAGGTAAAATGACACAGATATGAACATAACACACTGACATGTTTTTTTGGGGGTGTCCTTAAACTTATAATCGAGAGCGTACGGTTTTATAAATTTCTCCAGTCAACTGAGCAAAAGTGCCTCACTCTCTGAGTTAGTTTCGTTGTCCGTGCACACGTAAAGACAGGCTTTTTTTTTCTAGACGCCTCGATAAGACATTTTGAAATTAGCCTAAAATGAAAGTGAGAATCTAAACATTCATTTAGTGGAAGTTTCAACGCTATTGATCTTTTAAGATAATGTTTTCCATCTGAGATACGTGTTACCACTAATTTATGAGAGGTATACAATTGGAACGATTCATCTCAATTTATGTATCCACAAATCTGCATGAAAATCTTCACCAGTAAAAGAAATCCAGAATATATTTGTCTTATCCCACTTAGGTTGATGTGAATTGTATTTTTATTTTATGATATTTGATATGCGAGAATTGCCCGCCAAGTTTTGAGAAATTTCTGAACTACTTTTCATCAGCCAAAAGATCTTTATCTCCTTAACAGCTTTGCCAAAAAGATTAAATTTCAAACTGTTCAGGATGTCGAGATATTATATATGCGAAGATTACACGTATATCTTAGCGCCACGTAGTGAGAAAATTCTGTACTGTCGACCAACGAAAAAGTTTTGATCTAATGGACAACTTTGCTGATGGCAGCTTAGCAGGTCTCGGAATATATCTAATGCGAGAATTGCATGTGTATACAAGCGCAACGATGTGAAAAAAAAATGAATTTCTGTACACCAGCCATAAGGCCTGGGCCCCTTGAACAACTTTGCCAAAGACAGTAACATTCTATTTGGTCAGGATCTCGTGATATTTTATATGTGAAAATTTCACGAGTATACTAGCGCCGCTTAGGAAATTCTCAACTATTGTACACCAAGCAATAGCCTTTGAACTCCTGAACAATTTTGTCGATGACAGTAACTCTATCTGGTCAGGATCTCCAAACAAACCACATGCGAGAATTTCACGTCTATACTAGCGCTACCTAGTGTGAAAATTCTGAACTATTGTGCACCAAGCAATAGCCATTGACCTCATGAACAACTTTTTCCAAGACAGTTATTTTCTACCTGTTCAGGATCTCGAGCTATAGCATACGCGAGAATTGTACACGTTTACTAGCGCCACGTGGTGATAACATTCTGGGCTACTGTCCACTAGCCAAAAAGTCTTGACCCCCTGAACAAGTTTGCCCAAAACAGTAACTTTCTATCTGCTCAGGATCTCGAGCTATTGTGTATGCGAGAATTACATGTGTATACTAGCACCGCGTAGTGAGAAAATTCTGAACAACTGTTCACCAACGAAAAGATCTTGACTTCCTGAACAACTTTGCCAAAGACATTTACTCTCTATCTGGTCAGGATGTATCACATGCGAGAACTTAACATGTATACGAGCGCTACTTAGTGAGAAGATTCTGAACTACTGTTCGCCAGCAAAAAGTTTATGATCTTCTGAACAGCTTTGCCGAAGACAGTAACTTCCTATCTGGTCAGAATCTTAAGATATTAAGTAGGAGAATATCACGTAAACACAAGCGCCGCGTAGTGAGAACATTCTGAACTACTGTCTACCTGCAAAAAGGCCTTGACCTTCTGAACAACTATGCCGAAGACAGTACCTTTCTATCTGGTTGGGAACTCGAGCTATTGTATATGCAAAAATTGCACGTACAGGGGTTACTCAAAATAACTTGGATACGCAAATTTTTGGTCAACTTTGGAGTGCTGTAACTTTGTCAAATATGATCCGAATTTAAATATTTCAAGCACATTTGACTGGAAAACTAATATTGTTCTACGGTGTAGCCACGAAAATAATCCTGGTCACCGGATACCGGAGATATTCCGGGTTTCCGGAGGGCTTGTCTAACTTGCTAAATTTTTGGTGAAATTTTATTTATGATGCTGGTTAAATATATATATTTTTAGTAAATACAACGAAAGAATAACCATTTCTAAAGCGAATCATATGCCAAGAACTAAAATGGGCTTATAAATAACCGAGATATGGCCATTTCCCTGGAATCGGTTCTGGTGAAGGGTTCTGAATGCGGGCAGATCATTTAATCACTCAAAACATGCCGTGCGACAGCTCTTTCTTCATGGTTTCTCGTCAATAGGCTTTCGATAAACTTTAAATGCATCATTGACCACATTGGCCACTCTCGGAACATCCAGTATACCCCCGGGGGAACCTGGAGCAGGGGACAATTGCATTTTTACACCAAAACATGCCGTGCGACAGCTCATTCTTCATGGTTTTTCAAGAATAGGCTTTCCATAAACTTCAAATGAATCATTGACCACATTGGCCGCTTTTGGAATCACGGGATACCCCCGTCATTCCAGCAGGGGTCAATTGCGTTTTTACACCTATACATGCCGTGCGACAGCTTTTTCTGCAAGCTTTTTCATGAATAGGCTTTTGATAGACTTCAAATGGATTAGTGACATTGGCCGCTCTCGGGACCTCCGGTATGCCCCCGCGGGAACCTGGAGCAGAGGATAATTGCATTTTTACACCAAAACATGCCGTGCATGGTTTTTCATGAATAGGCATTCATTAAACTTCAAATGGATCAGTGACCACATTGGCCGCTCTCAGAACCACTGGATACCCCCAGGGGGAACCTGTAGCAGGGGACAATTGCGTTTTTACTCAAAAACATGCCGTGCGACAGCTCTTTCTTCATGGATTTTCATGAATATGCTTTCTATAGAATTGAAGTGGATCATTGACCACATTGACCTTTCCGGAGTCACTGGAATGCCCTGGGGGGAACCTGTAGTAGGATGCAATCACATTTTTACACAAAACAATGCCATTGGGGAGCTCATTCTGGAACCAGCAGATGCCGCAGGATAACATGTAAGAGAAAAATTGTATTTTCACTTCACAATGCCGTTCGACAGCTCGAACTATCTGAAGTCTTGAAATGGACCATTGACTACTAGCAGTGGATAGGGAGATTAGGTATTTAAACTCTGGTTGTAGACCAATAAAAGTCTCTCTCTCTTGTATAAATGTGAGGTGGAGCAAGAGCACAACAACAACTCTTTAATGAACTGTCGACGTCAGCTCTGGAGATGTTCACCAGCACTTTTGTGCTCGCTAGTGACCATCAGTTAGTGCCATTTCCTGCATTTCAAATAAACAATAGTGACAGTGCGAATAAACCATTCTTATTTGAAAAGTTGCGCTTTTAATCTGGGTTCCAAACTTATTTGCTATTTGCAAAGCTATGTATTATTAATAAATTATTATTAATAAATTAAGAATGCCATATAAAATTGTAGGAAAATGTTATAATGGAACCGTCTAATATGATGTTGGACCACCATTTGCTTCAATAACAGCTTGGATTCGTCTGTGAATTGATTCGTAAAGTTTTTTGATGGCTTCTAGTGGATTGTTGTACCATTCTTGGATCAGAAGATGTTCAAGTGTTATCAACGACGATGGAGGAGGAAAAACGCTTTGAATACAAGCTTACAACGTCGACCAAAGTGGCTCAATTATATTTAAATCCGGCGACTGTGCTGGCCATGGCAGGTGTGTAAAGTCCTCGTCGTGTTCGGCACTACAGGTTCCCTCCCAGGGCATTCCAGTCAATGTGGTCATCCCAGGAAAGGTCAATGTGGTCAATGATCCACTTCAATTCTATAGAAAGCATATTCATGAAAATCCATGAAGAAAGAGCTGTCGCACGGCATGTTTTTGAGTAAAAACGAAATTGTCCCTTGCTACAAGTTCTCTTGGGGCATCCCAGTGGTTCCGAGAGCGGCCAATGTGGTAAATGATTCACTTTAAGTCTATAGAAAGAATATTCATGAAAATCTATGAAGAAAGAGCTGTCGCACGGCATGTTTTTGAGTAAAAACGCAATTGCCCCCTATTACAGGTTCCCCCGGGGGTATCCCGTGATTCCGAGAGCTGCCAATGTGGTCACTGATCCATTTGAAGTTTATGGAAAGCCTATTCTTGAAAAACCATGAAGAATGAGCTGTCGCACGGCATGTTTTGGTGTAAAAATGCAATTGTCCCCTGCTCCAGGTTCCCCCGGGGGTATACTGGATGTTCCGAGAGTGGCCAATGTGGTCAATGATGCATTTAAAGTTTATCGAAAGTCTATTGATTTCTGATTAAATGATCTGCCCGCATTCAGAACCCTTCACCAGAACCGATTCCAGGGAAATGGCCATATCTCGGCTGATTATAGGCCGATTTTAGTTCTTGGCATATGATTCGCTATAGAAATGGTTCTTCTTTCGTTGTATTTACTAAAAATATACATATATATATAACCAGCATCATATATAAAATTTCACCAAAAATTTAGCAAGTTAGACAAGCCCTCCGGAAACCCGGAATATCTCCGGTATCCGGTGACCAGGATTATTTTCGTGGCTACACCGTAGAACAATATTAGTTTGCCAGTCAAATGCTCTTGGAAGATTTAAAATCGGATCATATTTGACGAAGTTACAAACACTCCAAAGTTGACCGAAAATTTGCCTATCCTAGTTATTTTGAGTAACCCCTGTATATACTAGCGCCACGTAGAGAGAATTTTCTGAACCAGCAAAAAGGTTATGATGTCTAGAACAACTTTGCCCAAGACTGTAATTTTCTATCTGATCAGGATCTCGAGATTTTCCATGTTGTAACCAATTGAGTCAAATCCCACGTAGTACGGACACCGTTTACGTGGTATCCATTCACATTTTCTCTATTATCAGCATTTTTTTAGGGTTAACTGTGATAATAGTTTAGCTTGGTTAGTTAAAAACAAGTTTTTTTAGGAATACCGTTGGTTCCATATCGATTGGTAGCTCGGCTGCAAAATGGCAATGGAAAACTCACACTGTTGTGCAATGTACAGTGCGCGAGTACTCGTGTTACAAAAGTTGGCGCGAGTAACGGAGGGTTAATCATTTATTAAAAATTGTAAGCACAATGAGCAAAATTATTGTAACGGGTCAGGTGTTTTGGAACTAGGAATGCTTACAATCTTCACTTAAGCGCCAGGTAGATACGAGAATCTACCGTGAAGAAGCGAGGGACTCAAACAGACCCGTCCCGGCTCTGAGACCTCAGGGCGAGTTCAACGTAACAACAAAAGGCGAGCAAAGCGGTTGCGAATTCTGAAAATCAAAACTTAACCAACAGGGGACAGACTCATTCAAATCAGTAAGAGGGGTTTCCTTTGAAGGTTTGCCTCTGCTTACCTACGGGAATATTTAACAACGTTCACGCGAATTTAACCAATTAAATGTTTCCGTCACTCTTTCACGTGTCCGATCACTTATTCGAATCTCTTCACTGCGAGGTGCATTTCAGGTGTTTATTCATAAAACTAGGGTTAGTAGGGGGTACATCGAATAGGGTTTTGATCTGTGCTAACCTGACTTCTGTAGCGCTGGATGTCGGGACACGTGTCCGTGGTTCAGCCTCGGCGATACGTGGGCCGAGTGCGTGGGTGGCAAATGTTCGCTCGCTGGTGTCCGTCGTTTTGTCGTGTAAGAGGTTTGTGGCTCTGCTAGCGTATTACACCCTCCCCGTGCAACGTTCGCTACTCACCGCTACGTTGAGGTTATGGTGAGGTTGGGATTCACCAAGCCGTCGTGCTTTCGACGTTCGCGCAAAGCTTCCCAGAGGTAATGCACGTGGCTGATCTGCAGATGGCGTGTGTGAGGTTAGGAGTGAACCGTTTGTTCCGACTCCAATCAGTCCAACACGTGTACGGTGACGTCCCTGCGAGTCGACCTCAATGAAGGGATCCGTCCTTCGCTCGGTCGTTCTGGATCCACGACCCGAGGGGTGCACCCTTGTTTGAAGGGATTGTTCCTTCAAACATATCACCGTGATAGATTTTATCATTTTCATAGCTGACGGATTTACCTTTCGAAATGGCTGGCACTTGCTTGTGCAAGCGAAGCGTCCTCACACTTTACACTATGGCTTCCCTAGCTGTAAACTGAACTGGCTTAGTAAAGCAAAATTTACTCGCACTTTTATTCTACAAACCCGGAAAAAATCACTAATTCAGCAAACGGCTTTTTTTTAACCACTAGACCTTTCTACATCGACTAGGTACTCCTACTTCTTTTAATTCTTGCCTTCACTAGATAAACTATCTTTGACCGTGTGATCGGTAACGCAGTTGAGATCAGATAGCATTCAATTGGACAGCCGTCTACTTTTACGACCCAGTATCGAACCGAAGTTTGTTAGGTCAGAATTCGTGTCCCATTATACACACTCGGGAGAGTTTTTCCGGTGGCATAAACTCTACCTACCCGTCGTCATTCGACATTCCTCGCCTGACGTTTCTGACCGGTTCGAGTCCAGAGACTAGGAACGCGATTCGCTCGAGTGAAAATAGTAATTTTAATGGGGTTGAGTAGGACTGTATTCTAGGACTTATTTTTTTGAATACTTGTAACCTTGTTACATTATATTAATTTCAAAATCCGGTCGACTTCGGCATGCTGCCTAAATCGAACTCCGTGCCAAAAATGAACCGTTTTGTGATTTTGTTGTCAAAACCGAACGAGTACTGTATTAGCAGAATTGAATTGATTTTACTAAGATTACAACACGAATGTTTAACAATATGGAAGCATAATAACTTTCACTTGATCAATACGCTAGACTAATTGATAATTGTGGGGTGAGTGTACGTTTTTCAAATATTTTTTCTGCAACGCACAATGCTTGGAAAAACTCAACTTGCACTGAGGTAAATATATATTTTTCTGGGATAAAGTATAATATTTAAAGATCGAAGACAAATTCTTTTCAGGTCCCTCAAAAATGGGGGCAACCCCAGCGTAGTGGTTAACATCCATACCTCTCACGCCAAAGTCACGAGTTCAAATCTCACCCCGGAAAAGTCACGAATGACCCAAGAGTGTTAAAGTGACTATAATAAAAAAAAAGGTCCCGCAATTCTGATATCTTTGCAACCATATAGTTTCAGACGGCGGGTCGTAATAGATGCACAAATCAGGCAGACTAAAGCTGCCTCATTTTTAGTTAGTTATCGTTCCAACGAGTTTAGGGGATTCAAAATCAACTTTAAAAGCTACCCTTAGATGCAGATTAATTAAAGCACCCATATTGATTTTGAACGAACTTAAACTCATTTTTATCTAACGATTGCTTACCTTCCAGAAATAGGCCGTGAACGTAGACGCCTTCCTGAGGGCCATCGTGAATATCTTCCTTGTTGTAACGGGTTATCTGGTTCTGCAAAACCACCGAATCCAGTGCCCAACCTTTGTGGGCGCGTGTTACTTCCTGTGGGTGATAAAAATACCGGATTTATTATAGATGGCAAAAAAAACATGAAAAGAATTAAATTTCGGAGCTGTTATCCTCCTATTGCATTATTGAAATTACCATTCAGCTAATCGCCTTAACTACAAATCATTCTACCCTTTCCGCTCCTTATCGCTGCCCCAGCATCAACATAATCCAAACTCTCATCTACTGATAAACCTCTCACCAAACCAACACACTCCCCCATGCACGAGCTACGTGATCGATATTAATTTTCCTAACGTATATTTTGCGTGAATGAAATATCCAATTTGATATGATATTCGCTTACTCCTCCCCCCCCCCCCCTACACACACGCATATCTACTGCTCTCAGCTTCTGAACGCTTGGTCTGGTTTTATCCAGGTGGATCCCATCACGCACAAGAGTCGAGTAGCACCCTCTCAGGTGTTCATTTCCCAGTCCAATGCCATCAGTAAAAGGAGCAACACCCCATAAAGGTGCAAATGTACAGATGCATGTGTGAGGGCAAGTATGTATGGAAGTAGCAACAACGGTCAGCCCCAACAACGCCAACGGTGGCAAGTCGTCTGGAAAGATCCAGAGAGCTAAGACATCCGACTAAATACCACTAAACGATCTTGCTAATTAAAAGGCATCGACGTCATCGTCGTAGTCGGCCTGTTGAGCTTCACACAGATTAAAGATACACACCATAAGCCTCATAGCTCCTCATCTACTATGCAAGATGGTATTTGAGCCTGAGCTCTCTGCTTGCAGATTGGAAACGATGATGACGATAATGACTCTGCTTTGAGAAAATTACCATGAATGAATGAGAATGAAACTTGAAATTAAATTAATCTTCACAGCATGAATGTGGTGCCATTTTTTTCTTAGTTTTAAAATGTATCTGTAGATATGGGGTCTACAGCAAAGATATGAAACATGATTCTAGATTTGCAAGCATACTAGTTAGAATATGTATGCAGGATAAAGGTCATGTTTTGATACCCACTTTTGATAAATAAATGCCATAAACAATGCCCAAACAGCAGAATCGGCAGTTTTTCTGGTGCTGTGTTCGGTGAAATTACTTATTTTACTTAACCCGTAAAGTAACAGGCTGAACGAATTTTTTTCAACAAACTTGTTCTCAGCAATGCCTCATCCGATTTTCATAAACTTGAATTTTTATTCAAGGGGAATAGTTGAACTAACTTTTGTCGCAGGTACCGTCCCTTAGAAGATGTAAATATGTCTGTGTTTTTTGTACTTTTTCAACCTGTTTGACCAAATATTTCAAATTTTCACGCGAATCGGTTGTCTGGTGTAACAAATGATATCAGGTAGATGAAATATGATTAGTTAGACTGAATTTAGATATTTCCATAATGATATTATCGGTTCCGAGAGTTCCGAAAATCGGTTCTGTAGGACATAGTAATATCTCAGGCAAAAGCATCTTGTGGCATGTCAAATCATGTCAAATAGGTAAAATCAAGTGAATGAAGATGATTTGAGATGATTTTGGCCAGTTTGGCATCGGTTCCGGATCGCGGATCTGTGAATTCCGGCAAACGGTTTGTTTAGGTTATGATATCATATTATGCCAAAATGACAAGCTATGATCAATGAAATCAGGTTGTAGTGTATTTGATGACATATGGGCACATTGGCATCGGTTCCGGGAAATCCGTGAAATCCGGTTTTATACCCTACAGTTACATTCGCGGTATAATAATCATTTGGCATATCAAATCATGTAAGCATGATAATATAAGGTCAATAAAGATTATATGTGGTGATTCCTTTGGCATATGGTCACATTGACATCGGTTCCGGGATTCCGGAATACGATACGGTAAGGTATAATCATATTCATGAAAACCATATCATGTGGTGGTTCCAATCACGACAAAAAAGTAGATATACCTAATGGAAACAGTTTGAGATGAATCCTGTGACACATGGTCACATTGACGTCGGTTCCTGTGATCCTGACACCCAGTTCTTTAGGCCATAGTCATATTTGAGGCAAATAAATCATACTGCATATCAAATCATAGGATATGGCCATGAACGATAATTTCAGATAATTTCATTGTCATATAGACACATTTGCATCTGTTCCAATGCCTCCAGTATCTGGTTCCGTAAATTCTGGATTATGACTAGGAATGATACAATCGATGCTACTATATCGCGTGGTGCGTAAAATCATGCATGTTCAACCGAGGTGAATATTATAATGCAAACAAAACATAAATCTGAGGACAGTAGCCACCATCCAGGATCTGACCCTGGTGCTCCGGAAGTAATTATAAACTAACGGTCCTAGCTGCCCCGTAACGTGGGTAAATCACCTTTTCGTGGTACGCTACGGGATGTAAGATCTACCACCGATTTCTAGTCCTGACTACTCAAAATTAGGGAAACATGATTTTTCAGTAATCACAGGAACACATCGTAGCCCTTGTTACTTTTTACGCCTTGATGATAGTGACAACACTCGGCTTTTGTGTACCGAAGATGATATTGAAACAATAACAAAATGAGTTAGTTAGTCTTCATCTATTTATGTGATTCCAAATCTTCTATTCGTTGTTCTCTAGTTTGAAGTGGTTGAGACTAGGGTTCTGATGCATGGTCATTATCGGTGTCATTGTTTAGTTTTGTTGCTAAGGAATCCAATTATGACGCTTTGGAGGGTGTTTCAACACTCCGAAGGGTACACAGCAAAAACATAATTTTGATATCACATCAAAGTGGATGCACTTCAATCGTGTCAAAAATGTGGTGTAATATTACTTTCCAAAAAGGACAAAATTATCATATATACAGTGCATGAGCTGACATTACGCTGCTTTTACTGCATTTGTTTATTTTTGTGACCATCCTCATGTAGATGTAATATTAAAATTTATGTTTTGCTGTGTATAAATAGTGAGACTTTTCAATTATAGTCGGATCCTTTCGATAAATGCAAGAATTAAAATTGTAAAAAAAATCGAATACTTCATCATCTCTCAATAGTGATGGAGTTATAGGACATACACTAAACTAAGGACACGGGATATACCTACTACAATAGATCAAATTACTGGTCGCAGTGGTGTTAGGTGTTAGGGGAAAAAACATTTCTAGCTAAAATATTCCGGAAATCTGGTTCTCTGGAAGTCATTCTGGACTTATGATCCTGGCTAAAATATTCCATAGAGTGTGACACTCCAACCCACTACAACAAAGTCAAGTAAATATTTAAAATCAATCAAACATGATGCTGAGGACACTTGCATCTTCCGGGATCTGTTCCAGAGTTTTACAGAAGTCATTTTGGACTTATGGTCATGACTAAAATACTCCATACCCTAGTACGGAGTCGTTCGAGGCAACTTCTATACGACTTGTTTCAGTCATAAACAGGCTGCTTCAACTTTTCGAGATGGAAATGTGCTACTTGGGTTGAGTGTGACACGTTAAATGACTACAGCAAATCCAATTGAATATTATTACAATGCCAATATAATATGACCCTGATGATTACTGCCACCAAATATTATAAATTAACAATATGGTTCACTTCCAGAATTCCCATATATTTCTGAAAAGACGCATAAATAATACCCTCTCCCTGAGAAAGGTGACTAAAAACATCGTGGCCTTATTATTTAAGCGTGTAATCAATTCATACGTTTAGTCAAATAAAAGGTGTGGCAAACAGTATTAGCTTTCTCATGCATGTTACATCATGACATTATACTACGTTCAGACTATAGTTGATATTAATAACGTAATAACGTAATAATGTTATATAATATGATATCAAAAGTGCCTAAATAACGTGATATCTGCTATAGTTTGAATGTACAACAAGCTTAGAGGTAATCCAAACAAATAGAAGAAAATGCAGATTATATCTGCCATCCCTTTTTACATACCACATTGGCAACTGACAGGAAGAAAATTTTCAACACGCTAATAATCGTTAACCCAATTTTGGGTAATGGATTAACAAACACGGTAAGAAAAAAACACTCAAAACACTTGAGTTTAAAAAAGGTCAAAAATAAAAAAAAAACTAAAAATGAATTCGATTTTCAATTAACCACTTCATTCGAGCAGTTAAAATGACGTTTACTACCACTCGAACTTTAAAATAAAACATTATTTAGAGATTTTTTCTTCTAGATCCTCGAGAAAAGTAGCCAACATTTGTGCGTTTCATGAAAAAATATAAATTATTTAGTCCAGTTTTGTGAAATCGCTGGTAGAAAGTCACGGCAAAACTGCTTGACAAAGTGGTCAATTAAAAGTACTCAACCGTCATGTTTTCACCGTTGAGAAATTTTAACTTATTTTTGAATGTAAAGCATAGCAACCTGCGCTGCTTTTGATACTGTCATTTTTGTGTGCTTCATCGCCTTCGTTCGTGCTTTATTATTGGCGTTGAAGGCACCGTCGAAAAATGGTCTCTTCTAGAAATGATTGACAGCTTCTTATGGGATTTTTCGGTGAAATGAAAGGATAGTACCATAGAGGTAACTCTAAAACCCCGTTCATATTACAGCGTATATCACGTGATATACGTTGTCTTGCAATGAGCACTCATACATCTAGTTTTCTTTGTAAATCCTATGTATGAGTGCTCATTGCAAGACAGTCTATATTACGTGATATACCCAACAAGCATTTTGAGTTAATCAACAGCTGAATAAGCCATTTTTTAGCTGAAGAAGCATATTTTTGCATGAATAAGCTCTTATTCAACATTCAATGTTTGTTGGGATAGGCTGTACTGTGAACGGGGTATAAGACCAGAAGGTCCCGATAAAATGTGCTCAACTTTTTGGCTTAGTTCTGGTACTATCTTCGGTCCCAAGCTAATCGATGCACCCCTCGAAACATAGGAAAATCCATGAAACCCTCATTTTATCTGTCAAACTTCCATACGGAATGAATCAGTTCGTATAGAGTTTTCCACTCGCTTTCTACCCAAAAGTAAGTTAGTTGTACC